GGGTTTAAGGAAAAAAGAATGTGATGCTGGAGGTGAGATGTGATCAGGTCTTAGATAATAAACGCATCTGTGTGGGCAGAGGGAGACAGAGGAGAGGCCACTTCAGGCTGGCAAAGAGCTTGAACTAGGATGTGGAGGTGAGAATGATTAAAGAACATTCAGAGATACACAGTCAGGACGGTTTGATGGAAAAAGAAAAAAAAAAAAAAAAAAAAACCATAAGCCAAACTGGCTTCAGTGAAAAGAAAATATATGGTTTTGTATAACCAGAAAGGCCCATGGATGGAGTCTGGCTTCAGTGTTGGCCAGATTCAGAGCTCAGGTCAAGCTTGGATTCTTTCTGCCCCCAGCTTTGCTTCCTGGCATTCACTTTAGTTTGACATCTGTGGTACCAGGATGTGGGAAATGGCCCCCGCCCTCCTGTTCTCTCAATACTCAAATCCACTCTTTTTTTCCCCCATAATTTTACTGATAAACAAATAGCAATGAGATAGTTTCAAATCAAATTGGTAGGACAGTTTCAGTAATTAGCACATTGCATACATTTTTCCTAGTGGTTAATTGCTGTACAAGATGCGGACATGATTCCTAACACCATTAGAACAAATCACTCTATTCATTAAGAGAATGTAACTGTCTATCCTAACCACTTTGAATACACAGATACAAAATGGACATTCATCTGTATCCCCTTTTTTTGTTAAGTTCCATTATTTGAATATTATAGGTGTGTAAACTCAGCAAAATATTCTAAAACAGTCCAGTAGCCCATAATTGGGTCTTATGCTTGACAAGTAATGTCAGAAATTGTTGACCTGAGTCTCCTACAGCTCAACATAACAGCATGACTTTACTTCTTATATTTCGTTTTTATACTTTTCTGCTGGATGGTTAAGACCAAGGTAAAGCAGGACCTATGCAATAAGAGTTGTAGATTTTGGGTCTGATAAGGTCAGTGAAATCCCCTCAGGATTTATCCTGAGATCCTGTACCTCAGATTGTAGTCAAATCCACTCTTAAGTGAAGTCTTAGCAGAAGACTCACTCACCTTCTTCTGACTGGGTTTGCTGCTCATTCTGAGCATCATAGCCATTAAAGAATTCTGTAAGCTCAGTGTTGCTCCTTGTACAATCCCACATCCACTGTACGCCAGAGATGGAGTAGAATCACAGATTATGGGAGTAAGAAGTCCAAAGGAAATTAAGGTGTGGTTAATTAAGATAGGCAGAGTAAATGCATGCTGTCCTATAAAATGTAGTGTCCACTGAAGGGAGACAATCATCCTACTGACTTTACAGGATCATTTTGAGTAATAACAATAACTAGACACTGGAAATCTGTACTGCAAGCACATTGCCAAGGACAGTACAGGAATTTCCCTATGTTGGCAATTCTAAATAAATCAGATCCTGTGCAAGTTGACCTATCAGCTGTGTACACCATGCATAAGGCATTAGGTGCTCCGGAGACAGATACTTGACTTCTGTTGCATGTCATGAACTATGAAAAGTGCAGAGATACCTAGGACTCGATCTTGGCCCTTCAAAGAGTCTACAATGTGGTAAGGAAAACAATGTCGATAATGGTGCAGGCAGGATGCATATGGGTAGCAGTATATACTAAACTGTATTGAAATTGAGAAGGAAAAATCTTAGAAAATAAACCCCAATCATGGAGCTGGTAAGAAAACAAGCCAGTACACAGAGAGCAGAGACCTGTGAGCAGAGAGCCTCTGCAGCATCTTTGAGAGCAAATCAGTTGGGAACATTCAATGTTAAAGGGCTGAGGGTGTCACAAGGATGGAAGAAAACTGCTTCTCTGTCAGGAGACCTGGGATCCCCAGGAGTTTACAAGCCCTGAAACTCATGATGGGGTTAGACTCCGTAGATACTGACTGGCTGTTTCTGAGAAAAGATTGTTCCTGATGAGCACTATGGGAACATCCTCGTCTTTTGACCTTGATATCTCTGTGGCCCTTCTTCTCCTCTGAATGGAATGGAAGAGTGAGCTACTGGAGTACAAGGACTCTGATCCTATTTCAGTAGACTTCAGAGTAAACATTGCTGGGACCTTGTACAGGAGAAGAAATGAATTTCGTTCCTTACTTAATAGCAGTGCATAAGCCTTAGTTTCCCTGCCTGCAAAGACAAAGCTGTAGACAAAAATGATTTATAAAGCATCTCTTAACTGTAAGAGTCTCTGAAGCCAATGGAAACAACCATAAAGTTTTTATTTTATTTCACATGATTATGACTGACATATCTTTCCAAGCATTCTTGCTATGAGAATACTAAACAGCAAATAATTGAAAGTTCAGGAGGTTTCAGCTACAAAGGCAAACATTTAGAAAGCTGCTAAATAGAGACATTTGCAAGAGCAGGCAGAACTGACCACTTTAATGGGGACACGAAAAGGATTCTAGGCATAAAGGACAACTAAGGAAGAGACTGTTACTTCCCTTATAACAATCTGAAGAAATGAATGTGAAAATGAAGATAATAAGATTAGCCAAGCATGGACTTGACATTCTTACCACCAGCTTCTACACAAACTAAATTAAGACATTCAGAGAAATGTCCTATTTCAAGAGCTACAGCCAAGAGTATGAGTTGGGATAGCTGAATACATTATCTTAAATATCTTAAAATTGATGAGTATAAACCAAGAACTATATAAGTGAGGGTCCTTAAAAATTCAAAGAAAGCTAGACCATAGCAGCACAATCCTCTGATCCTAGCATTCTGGCTGAGACAAAAGGACTGTAAATTTGAGCCTAGCCTGCCAATTTGGTAACTTAAGTAGATACTATCTCAAAAATAAAAAAGGGCTGGGGATGTAGTTCAGTGAAAAGGTACTGGGTTCGATCCTCGGCATTAAAAAACACTCAAGAAGAATCAAAAGTGGATGTCAGTTTCAACAAGTGAGCTATTTAATCATTGTATGTAGAGACACATCAAATATCCAGACTGTACCAATAACAGTGAAGGAGGGAAGGAAAAATTCTTGAGTTAAATTGTGCCTAACATTAGGTGCCTCTGACCTACAGTTATTCATTGTAAAGCACTATCTTAGATGAAACTGTAAAAAGGAAAGATCCCCTTCCATTTCTGGAAATCTTACCTGTTTAGAAAGCACACACGGCCACACTTACCTCCAGGCACTCTGTAGGTGTGAAGGAATTACTCTTGCTCCTTACTTAATAGGTGAGAGGAGTGGATGAACCATCCAACCAGGCCACACACTCCTGGCCACCAGCCATGGGTGCTTTTCTCCCTCACATCTGATTGTCTGCGTTCACTAGTCAAAATTCTGCCCAATGCCAATTACATTTTCTTCCCTAAAAAAGAAATAGCACTATCTTTTATGACTAGGAGAGAGAATTTACGTTCCTCCTGGAATAAGTACAGAATGCTTTTTATGTAAGTCAGATTAAATAGACATCTGCTTTCCACAAACATTCAACTCTACACAAACAGAACATATTCAGTTTTCTTTGAAAGCCAAATACCATGTGCTATAACTTTACAATGTTTTAAATAAAGTTAGGAATTTAAGTTTATGATGCTGAACATGTCATAAAACTGATGGGTATAAGACCAAAAACTATACATATGAGAGTTCTTAAAAATTCAACAAGTTGAAGAATCAAAGGTAGACATTTCAACAAACCAGTTATTGAATCATTGTATTACCAATCTAGTGAAACAAAGTGAATTATTAAAGTTTATACTCCTCATTGGTTGGTGACCCTGGGATTCTGTGTGTGGATAGCTTTTAAAGTGGAACAGTTCAGCCTAACGAAGCCATTTAGTATAGTAGTTCTGCACACTGTGTCTATTTCTCTCTTTATTACTTCTTTTGGGGGCTTTGATTGCTTTATTTTAGATCTCAGATCATTCGAATGCTGTACAGCAGTTGTATGACGGGTTTAGTTTTCACTTTGTTCTCAGAACCAGGCTGGCCATAAATATATCTGAGTTCTTTGAAGAAGCTAATAGTAAATTTTCAGGAGGAAAAATGGTGGCGTATATCCCTATAGTGGAAAAGTAATCTCTTAAAAGCAGAATAACCTCCAGGCTACCTCCTTTTAAAGAGGGACTTTCAAACAAGGACCCCTTCAACTTTTATATGTGTTCTATATTTTTCTTCAGGCTTTGTACCTGCTCTTCTGCTTTCTGTGTAAGGTTTCGCTGTAATGACCCTGGTCTTCCCCACACCCATTAAATCTGTGATGAAGTCATGCTGTTCCTCATTCTGCTGGCGTAATAACTTCCAGAGCTACAGCCAGCTAACACATGCTGGGTAACCATCTGAGCTTTCCTCAGGAACATATAGCACAGAGACTAAGAATTGGAATCCTCAGAGAAGTGAATCTACATTTCATACTTGCCAAATAGTAAGATGAAAATGAACTTGGTTAAGTGAAATCCATGAGAAAGTTTGCATTTGGTTTAATTGCATTCAAAGCTATGTGCAATCACAAGCATTAGTTTAACTAAAATTCAACTAGCCCTTCCTGGAGGTTCAGCCACACTCCTCTATCAACAGGTGATAAGATCATCTCAAGCGAGGAAGCGCTAAGGAACAGGGTGAGCTGGTGGCTCTGTGTCCCTCTCTGACAGTGTCATCTCTGTCATCCAGCTGCCTTCAGCTGCAGCTTGGTCACCTTCAGGGCATTCCCACACCTCACACATAAAGGAGCCACCACAGGTCACAGATGTGGAGCTAGCAGAAGTCTGGACAGGGATGGGGAGAGTTCTAACCTGTGATACCATCCATCCTGCCTGTGCCTGCTGATGTCATGACCAGGTCCTCTGCACAGCTCCATCTGGGGGAGCAGAGAGCTCCCCAAAAGTGGAGACCGTTGGCCAAAGTGAGCCATCATGGACAGGTTAACTTGGCCAGCATGTTTTTTCCAAACCCACAAAGTTCTAGAAACAGTTTCTCATGCCATTTCTCTCGGCCTAATTGTCCTCTTTCTCATTTTATGCCCCTGCTAGACCACCGCTCTTGATAAGGAGAGGCAGGTTTTCCGACGAAGATGCAACCAGGATGTGAGGCGCCGGTACAAGGCACCGCCAGCTCCACCAGAACTCAACTCGGAATCCGAAGACTACTCCCCGAGCTCCTCCGAGACTGTTCGCTCCCCCAACTCGCCCTTTTAATGAGACCCTTTTACTCAAAGTCCTAGCTTAACCCTTTGAGACACTAGATTTTTTTCCCCAAAATTTCCGTAAAACAGTTTCATCTGATCTATCTAGCATTTGATGCTCTTGAATGGCAGAACATAGAGCGTGTTTGGGGGGTACTTTCGTAGTCATTTCCCTTTACTGGGTGAGATGGCACATGCAGGTTGTGAAGATGGTAATTGGCCACTAATAAGGTCCTCAAAGGGTTAAGGCTAATTTCCAATTTTTTAAAACATAGAAGCAATGAATGTTTTCATCAGTGAAGCTAAGATCTGCAGTATGTAATATAGCACATGTTAACCCTCTGAGTGCAGAGAACTTACTTGAGAATCTTTGCTGCGAATTTTTCAGGCTTTTGGGTATAGACACACATGTTTTTTGATCTTGCTGCAGATCAAGGAGTGCTATTAAGATGCTGGAATGTCCAGACAAGAAAAGCATTTAGAAGGATAACTTGATTGTTCTTCTCTGTGGGTTTAGAACATGGCAGGTTTATAACTTCAGCATACATACCCCTCTCTCCTTCACAAGTCTATTAAAAAGGGAACGTTTTTTCTTTAGTGTAACCACCTGCTGCAGTGAGTTGTGCATTCAGATTGGGCTTGTGACGAACAGCCTGACCCAGGAAATTGATAATACGCCCTCCCCTGAAGTTGTCGCCCAGGAAGATGTAGTGATACTGCCCCAGAAATGCTGCTTTCACATCAGCTGCTGCTAGTGCCAATGCAGACCCTCAGGGAATCACCCAAGCTTGTCTTGTGCTTGGTGCGTGAAGGTCTGTGTACTCCGTATCAGACATCTACAGGAAAGAAGCAACCAGTGGAAAAGAGCAATAACTTGCCAGGTGCTCTATAGGGCTGGAATTTCAAATGAAAGAGGAGATAAGATCTTGGGCTTTATGTTTTTCTTATCTGCTTTTTCATGATACTGTGGTCATTGGTGTGAAACTCACATATGTTGTGAAATCAAAATACTGAAGAGCTGGGAGAGAGGCAAGTACTTTGCGAAGTGGCTGAAGAGATAGCACAGTGGAACACCAGCCAAAATGGTTTTAAGGAAAATAAACTGATTACTTTCTTTGTGTGTATGGAACTGAGAGTTGAACCCAGTGTCTTTGGAGTGAGCTGTATCCCAAGCCCTTCTCTATTTTTTATTTTATTTTGAGACAGGTTCTTGCTAAGTCACTAAATTGCCTGCACTGGCCTCAAAGCTTTGAAATCTTTCTGCCTCAGTTTTCTGGAGAGTGGGGGTTATAGGCATGCACCACTACACGTGGCTATGCGTGCACCTTTAGGTTACCCACTTAGTCTCCCAGGAAGAGCAGGATATAACATCTAAAAGATACCTGAGAATAGATTTCCACTCCCTGTGATGATTTTTTAGGCCACTCTGTAGCTGTCCAGGGAGACTTAGTTTCTCAGCTTTGGATATGCTGCAATATCTGAGAATCTTGAAATTTCTGAATGACCTTCCCATAAATTCTGAATTTTCGAATTCACTCTGGTTTTCAGCTGCTGCTTTTTACTCTTCAGCCTTTAAATTCCAGTCCACACCTGCAGAGATTTTAAAATCCCAGCACGTCATTACCATTGCAACACAGACTCCCAGGTGCTCTCTTCCACTTAAAGTCCAGAATCCTCTGAAATTATAACGTGTGAAATCACAAAGCAGCATAAATCAGTAAATCAGTTGAAATTGGTTTGGGGAAAATAGGAAATGGGACACAAGACACCAGGAATGGTGTTGGTGTGTAGATAGATTACATATTAGGGAAGGGCACTGACCTGGTCAGAAATTGCTGCTTTCTCTGGAAATAGAAACAATGCACTATTCTAAAGTTAAGGAGTAGCTATATACTTGGCCACACTTCTATGTGTGTGAATGTAAAGAATCCTATGGGCAGAGACCTCCTTGCAGTAGATTATCATTTCCCCCTTTTCTCTGAATGACTGTGGGCATTTTTCTTTTTCCATGGGCATTAAGTGTGTTACTGTAGTGCCCAGTGTCCACAGCTACAGTGCATGGCTTAGACCTTTTTCTATGGAAACCTGGGGCAGCGCAGGAGTGTTTCTCAGCACATGGAGAGGGCAGCTCAGAGGAATGCAAGGCCCAGTCAGCGTGAGAACCCCAGTGCACTACTGTAGAATCTGAGTGATCTGTGCTGAAACAACAGTGGAATGTGACCTGTCAAGTAGAAATATTGAGTAATCAGATGGAACGCAATCTCTCTAGCACTAAGCTACCACGATCTTGAATGTCAGCGGTGTACTCAGAGGGTTAACAGACAAGCACAAGGCATGCTGATGTTGGTGTATCCAGATTGCTTTGCTCTTAGCCAGTGCTGTCTAATTTTTTTCTCAACATTCTTGGGATAGTTCAAGTTATAAATAATTAAGTGATGGTGTTCTTTGAGGAATTTCTAAAACCAAATTGATCTTATTTTTTAGTTTATTTATCATAGAACAAATATGTACAATTATGGCAGTGTATCTCTGTAATTATCAACTTAATCATCACTACAAGTGTTTCCATATTTTTTCCACATATTTAATATAGCTTTTATGGTGGCGGGCTGGTAATGAGAACTGTCTTTCTCTTATTGATACATGACCAGCCATATAGTATTTTCAAGGGAATTTTAAGAATCATCTTTTAAGTTTATTGATAGACTAGTTAAGGAAGAACTCCTTCATTATTTGCATCGTGTAAATCATCTCTGTAGATGAGAACTGTTCACATTAATGAACACTTTTTTTTCTTCAACATTGTAGCAGAAATCATGTTATTTGTCATGATCAATCAATATGTGATTTGCTCCAGATCATTAGAAGGAAAAATAAGATTTCAGTCATGGAAAACGCTTTTACTGTAGCCCTCATCTAACTCCTACGTGGTGCATATTAAAATAAGCAGAGAAAAAGAAATGTGAATAAACTACTGAAAACACGTTGTGTTTGTATTCAATGAGACCCTCCTGCACCTACCCAGCACTCCCATGAGGGAGTAGTTAACAGGCCCATCAGATATTGTTGAAAGAAAGCAATATATCCATGAATGAAAACTAAAATTGCAATCCTTTACCCTTTGAGGCATATTCCAGTTAGAAAAGAAAGAAAGAAAAATTGACTTAGAGGGTCACAGAGCTACCGTCTGACCAAGGCTCAAGCACATTAAATCACGGTTGTTTGCTGGCCAGCGGCATCCATTAGACAACTCTGTCCCCTGTGCTGAAGCATGAGTGAGCTGAGGGAGAGCTTTCTTAATATTATTGTGTTGCCCCCAGCCCTTCTCTGGGTAAGGATCTGTCAGCATTTCCATGATAAACTCCTATTCTCAAAGGTTTTAATTTAACCATAAAAATGTGCCTCAGGCTGAAGTTTGCTCTCCAGGACCTGTATCAGACTGAAGGTTCACTTCCCTCTCTTCTCAAATTCTTCCTAATTTTCCTGAGAAAACAACAGCAACAAAAAATCTAGCATGTTTCCTTAACTGTGATTTCATAATTTTGGAAAGAATCAAGATCCAAGGAGGTAGTTTGAATGTAATGATTCACTTGATGTGGTTTTTCTTTTAAGGAATCATCTGTCATATGTTTAGATAGCATCATTCCTGTAATTTGTAAAGCATTCAAATTGTATCGTTACATTATTGTTTTATTCAAAGATTCTTTAAAAAACTCAAAGTTAACATTTCCGAGGTCACCCCTTCCCCCATGTAGCCTACCATTTCCATTAGGAGTTTGACAAAATACTCTCAAACAGATCCTTACTTTGCATGCAACGTAGAGGGTCAGATATGTGCTTCTTTAGAGATAGGATTTCGTTATTTCATCTTTAAATTTCATGAAGCCATTCTTGTCTGTGGGGGAAAATAAAGATCAAGAGCATTTCCAAAATTAACACATTTGTCAACTCATATGCAAGGATAGCATAGAACAGCACTCACGCTATTTTGTTTATCTAAAGCCAAGTAAGTCAATGAAAGTTAAGGACGCGCTAAACATTTGACTGCTGAGAAGTGCTTTAAAAATTGGCTCAATGGTGCTTATACAGGGAGCAGTTACAAACGGGGTTCCTGAGACTCTCGGGAGGAATCTTTAGTCTGTACACAATTGCACACTGAAGAAGGAGGTGCTTTCAGGCTAGTCTTTCGTTTTTAATCATCTCAGACATGCAAGCATCTATACAGTAACATTAAGGGTCAATACCTGGTGGGAAACGGGATTCAAAGTAGAGGTCTAGCATGCCTCTGATTGGGGTGTGTGTTTTTGTTTGTTTGTTGTCATTTTTGGCTTAACACTAAGGCTGCAGTGATCAATTAACTTAGTGAGCATTTAACTAGCAAGTGTTTTGATCATGAGGTTTTCAATATCTTGCCCATGGAGACAAATGAAAGATCGAGTTTCATTCTCTTTTCCCCTAAAGGAAAAGTGATCTCCAAAATTGAACCACACCTGTAAATTCTTTCTGTATTCTTTTTTTGAGAGCTAAACTGAGACCCTTCATGTTGCTTTAATGTAAAATGTATATTTTTGTCTGTGATATACTTTATTAATTTAAAGTAATAGTTTTAAAGCTGTCACTGTTGATATTAAAAGAAAGTAGCATTTTAAAGTGATGTTAATAATTCTAATAATATCAATTCATTCCAGTCCAATCAAATGTGGTAAGAAATATAGCTTGAACAGTACTCTAGGGACAGTTTCTCACTTACCATTGACACTAATCTTTAATGTATTCTCAAACAAATAAAAAGAAATTGAAACTGGTCCAAGGTTAAAGTAATATCCCAATAACTTTTTTGAAAATTTATTAGGAAATTAGTAATAGCCTTTTTTCATTCTGGCTGAAAGAAATTATTAAAGGATTAGTTGAGTGTGAAATTAAATAGTATTTTGGTCATGCATACTAAAAAGGTGGGCTGGGAACTTGATGCATTTAAACAAGTTTCCAGAGGTTTCCATTTAGTAGGACAAAAATGCAATGTTTCCTTTGAAATTACTGAATTTATTACTTGCTGCATGGGTCAGATGGCATAGGTCAATCTTTGATTTTCAGAATCCTAATTAAATAACTTTCCAACAATTTGTATCCAATGGAATGAGATCCAATTTTTTCTGAATCCTTCAGTTTAAGCTAATAAATGTAGGTTAATGTGGAATGAAATCATCTGTGATATATTATGTTCATTTATCAACCAAGCTTTTTCTGATGTTGCCTGTTTTTATGTAAATCATGTTCTTAAAATTAATAAAATAATAGTTCTTGGTGTATGAACTACTACGTATTACCCTAGCTGCTGGGTCTACTCTTTAGTTCACATGGCCATAATAAAGTGCAATTTCATTTTAGCTCAATTTAGAATGGACGTATTCAGGGCATGAAGGAATAGCCCAGCTGTGTTCTTGGGGGGAATTCTCTCAATGCAAGGCTTTAAAAATTAGTCATGCAGTCAGAGTGTAGCTTTCCCACATGTCCTCCATAGCATAGTGTGTATTTCATGAGCATAATTCAAAAACAACTATTCCAAAAATGTCCCTTTTCATATATTACCTTCCTGCCTCAGTCAGAGACTTGGATAAACATAAAGAAATTAAATACCATTCAGCCCTGTTTTATCCTTCAACTTATGTGCATAAGCTCTCAAAGAAGAGTATTGCTTTGGCCACTAACCTGTAATTAGCTGCTATTTTTATAGCAATGTCCCATTAGACATTCAACACGCAATATTGACCTTAGAGAAAAATGCAAAACTACAGTGGCATAGAGCTCTTTCCTATTGAGCTTTCCAAGCTAGGAGACTGAAAAGTCAGACAGCAAGAGTGATTGTAAGTTCCTTGTGTCTTAGGAAGGTTCCAGAATATCCCTAAAAACTTGTAAAAGTAGTAGTCACCTTCCCTGCCAGCCACACATTGGTGTTTCTCCTTTTGCTGTTCTATTCTGAAGATGCTGGGTCCTTTCTAGACTTCCGGCAACTGCTGTGAAACAATAGTCAAACTATTGCTTCCTAAAGACAATTACACTGCTTTATGAGACAAGCACCCTCGCCAAAAACCTGCCACCAGAAAAATGAGCTTTGACATGAAAACCTCAAGCACCACTCTGGGATTGAAGACAATA